AACGTCGTCAGCAAACATTAATATTTTTGAGTTGCGAATAATAGATGGAAGGTCATGAGGAACACCAGAAAATACTGTAATATTTTTAGAGAGAGTATTATTAAAAGATACCTTTTGGGTACGGTCATGCAAATAAGACGATATCCATTTTAGGAGAATTGTAGAGAAACCCATTAAGTCAAGTTTATATATTAACAAACTATGCACCACCGTATCGAAAGCTTTACTGAAATCTGTATATATAATATCAGTTTGGGGTTTTTTGAGAATCCAGTGTGAACATTAGAGACAAGTTCTAATAAATTTGTCAAAGTTGATCTTCCTTTAACAAAACCATGCTGGTGTGGTGATACTATAGATGTAACGAAATGAGTTATTCGTTGTGTAACCAAACGCTCAAAAAGTTTGGGAATTGCACTTAGATTTGCAATGCCCCTATAATTTTCAATAACACATTTACTGTCAGCTTTATGCAATGGAATAATTAAGCTCGAACGCCAAATAAAAGGAAAATACCCTAGGATTAACGAAGTATTAAAAATACTTGTTAGAGGAAGATATAGTTCATGTGCAAATGCTTTTAAAATGAAAGACCGTACACCATCTGGGCCCGGTGAATTGGAACATTTTAATGAAAGTAGACCTTTCAACACTTCATCTGATGTGATATTAATATGAGGAAAATGATTAAGTTTATTAATACTATAAGAGTATTTTACTCCCGTAGTGGAATGTCTGGAATACGTACTTTGAAAAAAATCTGCAAACATGTCTGCTATTTCCTTAGGTTCACACGATTCTCTACTACCGAATCACGGTAGTAGAAATTCACGGATTTTTCTTTTTGAATTAACGAATTTATAAAAGTTCTTAGGATTTTTATAGAGGCTGTTTCTCATCTTGACTAGGTATTCAGAGCAACATTTAGAATTTTCAGTGTTGTATAAAATTCTAGCTTTTGTATAATTAGTACAGTTTATGGTAGAATTGATTTTTTTTAATTTTTTAAATAACATACTTTTTATGTTACGTAAGCGCATAAGTTGTGGGGTAAACCAAACTGGACCCCTATCACAGCACATTTTTACAAGTGGGACTGAGGTTTCTAATGCATTGTTATTTATTTTATAAAAGCTTGAAATACGAAAATCCAAATTACCGTCAAAACACCAATTTATATTGGATAATGTAGAACGCAGCAGATCAACGTTTGTCTTGCTTCTGCACACAGAAGAAGTTAGGGATGAAGAAAAAATTAAATCTAATAATTTACCTTTCGCATTATAGATAGAATTTATTTGATAAAGACATTGCTCAAATATGATTTCCCAAAAAGATGACATCTCAGTAGAAAGTTCTGTAGAAGCTACTGGTACATAATCTACAATATTTTTTCCTGGGACCCATGCTAGAGTAGGCAGATTAAAATCCCCCGGACAAATCATTTCCGCGTTGGAGGAATGACATAATGAAACCTCTTTTATTAAGGCTGAATGCATAAGATAAGTATCCATGTCTGAATTTGGAGGAATATATGAACAAGTTATAATAAAATTACAATTTAGATATTTTAGTTTAACACAAACAAATTCAATCTTAAGGTGTTCTCTAATCAAAATACGTTCTGAGGCAATGGAATTATGAACGGCAATGAAAACTCCTCCACCCATTTTACTTAATCTGTCTTTTCTGTAAATTTGGTACTGATCAGATAAAATCTCAGTGTCACGAATTTGTGGTTTTAGCCATGTTTCCGTGAATACCAAAATTTAGAAATCACAGTCAAAGGATTTTAAATAAATATTTCTAAGTTTAGTGTTAAGACCTCTCACGTTTTGATAAAGAAGAGATAGAGATTTAATTAGTTTTTTTGACAATGGTACAACTGAAAGATTAACTGGTAAATTAATGGGGTTTGTTCTTTCCCTAAGTACAAATTCCTTTACCAACAATCCATCCGGCCAGAACGTTCTATTAACTATTAAATTAAATAATTTAGCAGGAGTAATGATTTTAAATGATGAAATATCGCGAGGTTGGGACGTGTTAATTTTAAAAATGTTTATGCCATTATCAGGTAAATTAGGAATTTTTGTTTTTATGTAAGACCGAAGGTTAGGTAGTATCGGCATGCAATCGGGACACAAATATAGTTTTACGCGGAGCTACAACAATAAATAGATCAGTAGGCGAAGGCATAGGGAATTCGTTATTATTGTCTGCAGAAACAGACTTTTCATTAATAGTATCTGCAGAAACAGATAGATTACTTTTATATTTATCTGCAGGAACAGATTTTGTTTCTATAACCGCTCGAGGCTTGGCCAGAACGAAAGGCTTACTAGATTCTGCAGTAACAGAAGCTTCCTTTAACGGTTTTGCCGAACGTGGAGACGATAACGTTGCTTATTAGTGTTATCATTAGAAACTACAGAAATAGTATTAGCTATTGTACTGGACGAGTTAACAGCAATTGCAAGCGCTAAGAATTGAGAAGCTATAGGTACGGTTTTAGAAGATTGCATTTCGACCGGAGCATTTTCTGTAACAATTTCAATAGTTTTATCATCAATAGAGGGTGGGATGTCCGAGCCAAAAGATTTGACAGCGTTGTGTGGCTTTGCACAACTGGTGAATTTAAACGGATCAAATCATCACCAGGCACAAAAACTGAGGATTTCTTTCGTTTCGGAGATCCATCCAGGAATTGAAAATTATTAAACTTTTTTTCAAAATTCTGAAGCTTTAAAAATGCTTCGTCGAAAACCTTCTTCAAAGCTTCTAATTCAGTTTTACACACCTTGAAATGAGTATAAAAATTAATTTCTAAGGGCCTACTATATTTTTCGCGATCAGTAAGAACTTCAAAATGGTGGCCATTAAGACCTGCACATTTTAAATGTTCGAAAAATTAATTAAATTTTTATTTATTTGACGACACACAGAAAAAAAACACTTGCATACGAACAGAATTGCCAGACTTCTTTTATAGTGTTTTTTGTGTGTTTATTAGTGTAAAGTATATTAAGTACATGGTACAAAAAGAGGTAAAACAGCTTTGTTACAACTACTAAAATACAACTCTACTGCTGTACCCGCTTTTTGTCAAAATCATGCTAGGAAAGAAATGTTTATTTATGTTTTCAATTTCTTTGTTTATGTAAATTGTTAAAATATGTAAAAAAAGATGACAATCTTCTTTTAAATCGTGTTTTAGTTGTCATGGAAGTAACATTTGATGAATTTTCTGTGTTTGCAACATCAACGTTGGCTGTCATTTCGATTGTTTGATGATTTATATTAGAATTCTCGTAATTGCTGCTTGTTATAATTTATTATTGGAAACATCGAAGTCTCAAAAAAAAAAAAAAATAAATAAATAAATCTTAAAAGAAATAAATAGGATAATTGATTCATAAATTGCATATATTATGGCAAACTATGATGTCTAAGGATAAAACCTGGAATATACAGTCCATGTAAGAATACAAGATGTCAACAAAATTACCTTCCATATACCCATTGGAATTTGCGCCATTCTGATTACTGCATCATGTTCTGAACCTTATCAAAGACAAACAATTCTCTAAATACCTCAAATTTTAACATCATATATATACTACAGATGAAAATTTTAAGGACAATAAGTGGAAGAAGGAACAACTCGGTTGCACTTTGAACTTTAATGAAATAAAATTTTATTTATTATGGTTTACGGGTTTTCCATTTAAGAGTTGAATGGACATGCTATTTATAAGACATATTCATGTTTTTACAAATGGTTTTATTTTTGTATTCTTCCTCCATTTTCTTGCATTTGTTTTTCATCATTCTTTTCTCAAAGCCATTCGACCAAGATTTTTGGAATTTCACCAGTTTGGGTCTTTTTATTTTGTCAAGAGAATGTTTCTGTCATCGGGGTTTCCGACAATGAAGCAATGTCGGACTTTTAATTCAATCTAGTTCATCAAACGTTTAATTCAAATTTATATTCAATAAGTTTTTTTCTTTTTGATTTTATAATTAACCTGATAATCAAAACAAAAATATCAAAATACATTTGACAGGAAAAATTTGTAATCAGCTGACAGCTTTGCTATACCTTTTTATTGTACCATGGTTAAGTATTAACAAAAAATATATGAAAAGTATAAGTCTTTTATTAAACTTGTATTTTGAAATGCTTTTGCAGTATAATTCTTGTTTTTAATCAAACGTAGACTTTATTCTTCATTTGGTTGCTTCATTCTTCGAAACTTTGTTTTTGTTTCACTTTGATGTTTGTTCATTATTCGTTTTTGTTTTGTTTAAGTGCCCTGGAGACGTTCAAATTTTTTCGTCAAGCAGCTTATATGTGTGTGTCCATGTGAGTCTAATCGGCTTTCGTCGGCTACACACATTTGTTGTCGGCTTTGCTTTGGTGGAAAATCAAAGTATTTTGATATTTTTATTTGCGCAAATCTACGTCCTACCATGGTAGAAGAATATAGGTAGACGCGTCGATACAGCTGCTGGGAAAAAATTTGATGCATCTACCTGTTTTTTCTACCATGCGTCCTACTAAATGCCATTTTCCCATGGTAGAAGAATACTGGTAGATGCATCAACGTTTGGAAACAGTGATGCGTCAATTTTTTTAATGTTTTGCCAAAAATAAGTATATATCTTTTTATACAATCCAAATCGGAGGTTGTTATGATACGCAATTTTTAACAATTTCAATAAATTTTCATTCAACATTTTCAATTCGAAAATCGGTTTGGCGGTTCATTGTCCCAGCGACTACATATATTCTTGTACCATGCATTTTCCTGAGCGTACTCTCAGGCATTTACATGGCAGAAGAATACAGGTAGATGCATCAACACTTGGGAGCAGGGTTCCCAGATAATTTTTTTTCCGTCCCCAAAATTTTACTTATAAATCCCCATTTGTCCCCAAATTTATTTTATTGATAAATCCCCATTTTCCCCAAATATTTTTAATTAAAAAATCCCCTATTGCCCTTAAATACAATGCAATTTATTTATTAAAAACAATTCAAACATAAGAAACATAACAATTCAAACATAAAAACATATTCATGTAAATAACTTATTAAATAAAAAATAACAAAAAGTCAAATTAAATTTAAATGGAGATCAGTTTTCAGTTTCGAAAGAAAAGATTGTTTTATATATATAAAATATATGAACAAAACATATTAAAAATTTAGTTTTTTTGAAAACAAGTTACAATAAAGTAATAGATATGTATTTTAAAAATTCATTAGTTCATAAACTTCTGATTCATTATCATTATCCTTGGTTTGTGAAATACTATACATACATTTGGAATTAAATTTATTTAACATTTCTTTTGAATGCGTAAAAGACTGACAGCAATTGTCATTTATGTTAAAGTATATATTTACTCTTAGTAAAGATTCTAATAGTTCGTATTGTATTCTGCTGCGAAGTTTTGTTTTTGTCAATGACATAATTGAAAATACGCGTTCGATGCATGCATTGCTTGTTGGGATGCTAAGCATATTTAGAACTGCTTGTGCCAATTCCTTATAATGATATGTGCCAGACGCGTCCTGAAAACTGTATACTTAAGCGTTCCAATCGGTAAAGGGGAGTTTATTCCACTGCGACTCATAAACATATATTGGAATTTCTTTATCCATAAAATTTTGCAATACATCTTTTATATTAGCAAACTTTAAATGTCTTACTGAAGTTGCGCATTGGCTAATAGTAAACTGCTGGAATTGCTTAAAGATTTTCATATTTGTAGGAAAACGTTTTTTCATTTCCTTTATTAAATTAATAAAATACTGAAAACAGGTTTCTTTTAACATTGTTTTTTCGACAATTTCCAATTTACTATTTATTAATTCACTTTCGAATTCGGAACCAAAATCTACTGCACTTGTCGGAAGTAACATAGTTTCTTCAATAATTATATCATCGCTTATATCTTCCACATTTTTTAAGCAGTTCATAGCTGCTGGTGTAAAAACCTTAGCGCAAGTCGAAATAAGAGTTTGATACATTTTGTCATATAAACTTCCAGAATCAACAGAATCAGAATGAAAATCCAAATTCAATTGATTCATTTCGTTAATAATCGGATTAATAAATATTAAAAAGAGTCTATTTTTGTCATCATTCATTTCCTGATGTAGCATTTTAGCCATATGGTCTTTTTCTTTAGTACTAGTGACTGAAAAGTAATATTTAATTCAATCCACTGTTCTAGGATACGTCTGACTGCACCTGCATAAGCTAGCCACCGAGTATTTGACAGTTGTACAAGTTTTCGGTATCTGATGCTGTCATTGCCTGTATTTATTAATTCAAATGCCCGCATGTATACTACGTTCCTCAAAGAACTTTTGCTAAAATATCCATAAAGCTCTTTAACAATAAATTCCGCAGTACTAAGAATTACTTTGGACGCTTTCGAACAACATAGATGGAGGGAGTAACACGTACACTTTATTAGGATAAGTTTGGGTATATCTTTTCTTAAATGCGCAAATAATGATTTATTCTTGCTACATAAATTGCATCCACCATCCGTTCCAATTGCCAACATGTTTGACATTTTCAAACCTATGTTTTTTATGTAGTCTTTAAAACTCTTATAGAGATTTTCACCATTTGCTTCTTCTACTATAAATATTCCAACAAAGTCATTAACAATTTTACCTTTCTTTTCGCTAAAATAGCGTATGCATATACAAAACCATTTCATTTGTGAAACATCTGTTGACTCGTCGACAATCAGGGAATATCTAGAGTTTCCTATATCTTACACAAGCTCCTCTATAATTGTTGGGCCAACAACAGATTTTATAATTGCGCTACATTTCGTTCGGTGTAGTTTAATATTTTCGAAGGGATTAGAATGTGTTGCTGCAGTTTTCAGCAGTTCACTTAAATGGTCAATAGATGCAATAGCTGTATGCTTGGCTACGAACACTGCCAGTTTAATGTCTAATATTTTTGACGTATTGGAAATAGGCACAACACCTGAAATAAAAAGGAATTATATATTTATTTATATTTGTTTCAGATACATATATAAATAAAATACATACCACAGTCGGAAAGCGATGGATAAGTGTGTATTATTGCCATGTTGTTTTTGTGGCGTTTAGTTTCGGAATGTTTCCGCAGGTCTTTTTTATGCGATTCCAATGATAAATTGCAAGCAAAACACCACGAGGTTTTTGTTGTTGATTGTTGTGTCACAGGTGCTTCTCGTATTGATTTCAACCACCCTTTAAATATATTGCAAATACATACATAGCAATGTAATACTTATATAATAGCTTATTTACACTATCTTAGTAAAAACTTACCTTTGGCCCAACTTTCATTTGTCCAGTCTTTGTTAAAAACTCTTCTGATTGAAGACATTTTTGATAATTTGTTCTTTTTCGTTGCAAGATGCTATTTTCTTTCCTTTTTGTCTATTTTCTTTTCTTCTTTGTTTCTCTATTACAACAGCTGCCATATGGAATATTTAATACTTAAATTCGTATTGGGCTAACCTAAATAAAAGTTGTCGCGTAAAAAGTTTCTTGTTATTTCAAACATGTTGACGAATTTTTATCAAGTATAAATGTGTTTAAAATTCATTATAAATCCCTAAAATATCCCCAAAAAAATTATAAATCCCCAGTAAAATCCCCATCTCCAATCGCATTTTTTTGTCCTTTTTAGGCACCCTTAATCCCCAAGGTTGGGGACAAATCCCCAAATCTGGGAACCCTGCTTGGGAGCATTGATATGTCAAAGAAATTTAATGTTTTTTCAAATATAAGTAGATTTTTATATGTTTTCTAATACTACGTCTTTTGGGGGCTATTATAATTCGCGTTTTTTTAACAATTTTTACAAATTACGCGTCGACACAGCTGCTGGGACAATGAACTGTCAAACCAAGTTTGGAATTGAAAATGTTGAATGCAAAATTATTTAAATTTGTAAAAATTTTTGAAAAAAAGGCGAATTATAATATCCTCCGAATGACGTAGTATAAGAAAACATATAAAAATCTATTTCTATTTGAAACAAAAAACATTTAAATTTTTTGACATATCAATGCTCCCAAGCGTTGATGCATCTACCTGCATTCTTCTGCCATGCGTCTACCTATATTCTTCTACCATGGACATTTATTAAAATTCATGGTAGAAGAAGACAGGTAGTCTGTCAAAACAATTTGGAATTAAAAATGTTAAAATGTTGAATGAAATATTATTGAAATTTGTAAACATTTTTTGAAAAAGCATATCAAAATAACCTCCGATTGACGTCGTATAAAAACACATAAAAATCTACTTATATTAAAAAAAAATTTAAATTTTTGACATATCAATGTTCCCAAACGTTCATGCATCTACCCTATTAAATGTTATGTTAACATTATAATAACAATACCGTTCACATATTGTTACTTTAAACTCGTTCGTTTACACGTAAAGTTAATAGTCAAAGTCAAAGGATTTTAAATAAATATTTCTAAGTTTAGTGTTAAGACCTCTCACGTTTTGATAAAGAAGAGATAGAGATTTAGTTAGTTTTTTTTGACAATGGTACAACTGAAAGATTAACTGGTAAATTAATGGGGTTTGTTCTTTCCCTAAGTACAAATTCCTTTACCAACAATCCATCCGGCCAGAACGTTCTATTAACTATTAAATTAAATAATTTAGCAGGAGTAATGATTTTAAATGATGAAATATCGCGAGGTTGGGACGTGTTAATTTTAACAAGTTAAAAAACTGTAAGTTCGGCCGGGCCGAACTTTTAATACCCTCCACCAGTTGGTACAAATTTGGCAATTTCCAAAAAAAAAAAAACGTTAAAAATTCAGTTAAAATCTTAAAAATACCGAATGCTTATACGACGACGTGGGCCTGCATAGGCAACTTTTGTCATAAATTATTACAATATTTAAATGCGAAACTTGAAGAAAAATCTGTTTATAATGTAGCTAAAATCGTCAAAATACCGAATATGGGGGGTACCGTTATATGGGGGCTATACGAAGACGTGGACCTGCACAGACAATTTTCTGGCATGGGCTGAAGTATCCATTACGAACTTCACATGCGAAATTTGAAACAATCCCTGTAAATAATGTCGCTAAAATCATTAAAATACCGAATATCGGGGCGTACTGTTATATGGGGGCTATATGAAGACGTGGACCTACATGGCTCATTTTTTGTCTTTAGATGAAGTATCCATTACGAACTTCAAATACCAAATTTGAAACGATTCCGATAAACAATGTCGCTAAAATCATCAAAATACCGAATATCGGGGGGTACCGTTATGTGGGGGCTATATGAAGACGTGGACCTGCACAGATAATTTTCTGTCTTAAGCTGTAGTATCCATTACGAACTTCAAATACCAAAATTGAAATAATTCCGGTGAATAATGTCGCTAAAATCATCAAAATACCGAATATCGAGAGGTACCGTTATATGGGGGCTATATAATAACTTGGACCTACATGGCCCATTTACGAACTTAACCTGCCTACTGGGAAAATATACATGTGTGCAAAATTTTAGCCTTCTATCTCAATTTGTTCGAAAGATAGCGTGATTACAACAGACAGACAGACAGACAGACAGACAGACACACAGACAGACAGACGGACATAGCTAAATCGTCTTAGAATTGTACGCTGATCAAAAATATATATACTTTGTTGGGTCTGACATGAATATTTCGAGGAGTTACAAACGGAATGACAAAATTAATATACCCTCCATAGTATGGTGGAGGGTATAAAAAAGGTAAAGTTAACAGGTAAAAAAGCTGTAAGTTCGGCCGGGCCGAACTTTTAATACCCTCCACCATTTGGTACAAATTTGGCAATTTCCAAAAAAAAAAAACCGTTAAAAATTCTGTTAAAATCTTAAAAATACCGAATGCTTATACGACGACGTGGGCCTGCATAGGCAACTTTTGTCATAAATTATTACAATATTTAAATGCGAAACTTGAAGAAAAATCTGTTTATAATGTAGCTAAAATCGTCAAAATACCGAATATGGGGGTACCGTTATATGGGGGCTATACGAAGACGTGGACCTGCACAGACAATTTTCTGGCATGGGCTGAAGTATCCATTACGAACTTCACATACGAAATTTGAAACAATCCCTGTAAATAATGTCGCTAAAATCATTAAAATACCGAATATCGGGGGGTACCGTTATATGGGGGCTATATGAAGACGTGGACCTACATGGCTCATTTTTTGATTTAGGATGTAGTATCCATTACGAACTTCAAATACCAAATTTGAAACGATTTCGGTAAACAATGTCGCTAAAATCATCAAAAAACCGAATATCGGGGGGTACCGTTATATGGGGGCTACAGGAAGACGTGGACCTGCACAGATAATTTTCTGTCTTAGCCTGTAGCATCCATTACAAACTTCAAATGCCAAATTTGAAATAATTCCGGTGAATAATGTCGCTAAAATCATCAAAATACCGAATATCGGGAGGTACCGTTATATGGGGGCTATATGATAACTTGGACCTACATGGCCCATTTACGAACTTAACCTGCCTACTGGGAAAAAATACATGTGTGCAAAATTTTAGCCTTCTATCTCAATTTGTTCGAAAGATAGCGTGATTACAACAGACAGACAGACAGACAGACGGACAGACAGACAGACAGACAGACACACAGACAGACAGACAGACAGACGGACATGGCTAAATCGTCTTAGAATTTTACGCTGATCAAGAATATATATACTTTGTTGGGTCTGACATGAATATTTCGAGGAGTTACAAACGGAATGACAAAATTAATATACCCTCCATAGTATGGTGGAGGGTATAAAAATGTTTATGCCATTATCAGGTAAATTAGGAATTTTTGTTTTTATGTAAGACCGAAGGTTAGGTAGTATCGGTATGCAATCGGGACACAAATATAGTTTTACGCGGAGCTACAACAATAAATAGATCAGTAGGCGAAGGCATAGGGAATTCGTTATTATTGTCTGCAGAAACAGACTTTTCATTAATAGTATCTGCAGAAACAGATAGATTACTTTTATATTTATCTGCAGGAACAGATTTTGTTTCTATAACCGCTCGAGGCTTGGCCAGAACGAAAGGCTTACTAGATTCTGCAGTAACAGAAGCTTCCTTTAACGGTTTTGCCGAACGTGGAGACGATAACGTTGCTTATTAGTGTTATCATTAGAAATTACAGAAATAGTATTAGCTATTGTACTGGACGAGTTAACAGCAATTGCAAGCGCTAAGAATTGAGAAGCTATAGGTACGGTTTTAGAAGATTGCATTTCGACCGGAGCATTTTCTGTAACAATTTCAATAGTTTTATCATCAATAGAGGGTGGGATGTCCGAGCCAAAAGATTTGACAGCGTTGTGTGGCTTTGCACAACTGGTGAATTTAAACGGATCAAATCATCACCAGGCACAAAAACTGAGGATTTCTTTCGTTTCGGAGATCCATCCAGGAATTGAAAATTATTAAACTTTTTTTCAAAATTCTGAAGCTTTAAAAATGCTTCGTCGAAAACCTTCTTCAAAGCTTCTAATTCAGTTTTACACACCTTGAAATGAGTATAAAAATTAATTTCTAAGGGCCTACTATATTTTTCGCGATCAGTAAGAACTTCAAAATGGTGGCCATTAAGACCTGCACATTTTAAATGTTCGAAAAATTAATTAAATTTTTATTTATTTGACGACACACAGAAAAAAAAACACTTGCATACGAACAGAATTGCCAGACTTCTTTTATAGTGTTTTTTGTGTGTTTATTAGTGTAAAGTATATTAAGTACATGGTACAAAAAGAGGTAAAACAGCTTTGTTACAACTACTAAAATACAACTCTACTGCTGTACCCGCTTTTTGTCAAAATCATGCTAGGAAAGAAATGTTTATTTATGTTTTCAATTTCTTTGTTTATGTAAATTGTTAAAATATGTAAAAAAAGATGACAATCTTTCTTTTAAATCGTGTTTTAGTTGTCATGGAAGTAACATTTGATGAATTTTCTGTGTTTGCAACATCAACGTTGGCTGTCATTTCGATTGTTTGATGATTTATATTAGAATTCTCGTAATTGCTGCTTGTTATAATTTATTATTGGAAACATCGAAGTCTCAAAAAAAAAAAAAAATAAATAAATAAATAAATAAATCTTAAAAGAAATAAATAGGATAATTGATTCATAAATTGCATATATTATGGCAAACTATGATGTCTAAGGATAAAACCTGGAATATACAGTCCATGTAAGAATACAAGATGTCAACAAAATTACCTTCCATATACCCATTGGAATTTGCGCCATTCTGATTACTGCATCATGTTCTGAACCTTATCAAAGACAAACAATTCTCTAAATACCTCAAATTTTAACATCATATATATACTACAGATGAAAATTTTAAGGACAATAAGTGGAAGAAGGAACAACTCGGTTGCACTTTGAACTTTAATGAAATAAAATTTTATTTATTATGGTTTACGGGTTTTCCATTTAAGAGTTGAATGGACATGCTATTTATAAGACATATTCATGTTTTTACAAATGGTTTTATTTTTGTATTCTTCCTCCATTTTCTTGCATTTGTTTTTCATCATTCTTTTCTCAAAGCCATTCGACCAAGATTTTTGGAATTTCACCAGTTTGGGTCTTTTTATTTTGTCAAGAGAATGTTTCTGTCATCGGGGTTTCCGACAATGAAGCAATGTCGGACTTTTAATTCAATCTAGTTCATCAAACGTTTAATTCAAATTTATATTCAATAAGTTTTTTTCTTTTTGATTTTATAATTAACCTGATAATCAAAACAAAAATATCAAAATACATTTGACAGGAAAAATTTGTAATCAGCTGACAGCTTTGCTATACCTTTTTATTGTACCATGGTTATGTATTAACAAAAAATATATGAAAAGTATAAGTCTTTTATTAAACTTGTATTTTGAAATGTTTTTGCAGTATAATTCTTGTTTTTAATCAAACGTAGACTTTATTCTTCATTTGGTTGCTTCATTCTTCGAAACTTTGTTTTTGTTTCACTTTGATGTTTGTTCATTATTCGTTTTTGTTTTGTTTAAGTGCCCTGGAGACGTTCAAATTTTTTCGTCAAGCAGCTTATATGTGTGTGTCCATGTGAGTCTAATCGGCTTTCGTCGGCTACACACATTTGTTGTCGGCTTTGCTTGGTGGAAAATCAAAGTATTTTGATATTTTTATTTGCGCAAATCTACGTCCTACCATGGTAGAAGAATATAGGTAGACGCGTCGATACAGCTGCTGGGAAAAAATTTGATGCATCTACCTGTTTTTTCTACCATGCGTCCTACTAAATGCCATTTTCCCATGGTAGAAGAATACTGGTAGATGCATCAACGTTTGGAAACAGTGATGCGTCAATTTTTTTAATGTTTTGCCAAAAATAAGTATATATCTTTTTATACAATCCAAATCGGAGGTTGTTATGATACGCAATTTTTAACAATTTCAATAAATTTTCATTCAACATTTTCAATTCGAAAATCGGTTTGGCGGTTCATTGTCCCAGCGACTACATATATTCTTGTACCATGCATTTTCCTGAGCGTACTCTCAGGCATTTACATGGCAGAAGAATACAGGTAGATGCATCAACACTTGGGAGCAGGGTTCCCAGATAATTTTTTTTCCGTCCCCAAAATTTTACTTATAAATCCCCATTTGTCCCCAAATTTATTTTATTGATAAATCCCCATTTTCCCCAAATATTTTTAATTAAAAAATCCCCTATTGCCCTTAAATACAATGCAATTTATTTATTAAAAACAATTCAAACATAAGAAACATAACAATTCAAACATAAAAACATATTCATGTAAATAACTTATTAAATAAAAAATAACAAAAAGTCAAATTAAATTTAAATGGATATCAGTTTTCAGTTTCGAAAGAAAAGATTGTTTTATATATATAATATATATGAACAAAACATATTAAAAATTTAGTTTTTTGAAAACAAGTTACAATAAAGTAATAGATATGTATTTTAAAAATTCATTAGTTCATAAACTTCTGATTCATTATCATTATCCTTGGTTTGTGAAATACTATACATACATTTGGAATTAAATTTATTTAACATTTCTTTTGAAGGCGTAAAAGACTGACAGCAATTGTCATTTATGTTAAAGTATATATTTACTCTTAGTAAAGATTCTAATAGTTCGTATTGTATTCTGCTGCGAAGTTTTTTTTTTGTCAATGACATAATTGAAAATACGCGTTCGATGCATGCATTGCTTGTTGGGATGCTAAGCATATTTAGAACTGCTTGTGCCAATTCCTTATAATGATATGTGCCAGACGCGTCCTGAAAACTGTATACTTTAGGCGTTCCAATCGGTAAAGGGGAGTTTATTCCAATTAATAAAATACTGAAAACAGGTTTCTTTTAACATTGTTTTTTCGACAATTTCCAATTTACTATTTATTAATTCACTTTCGAATTCGGAACCAAAATCTACTGCACTTGTCGGAAGTAACATCGTTTCTTCAATAATTATATCATCGCTTATATCTTCCACATTTTTTAAGCAGTTCATAGCTGCTGGTGTAAAAACCTTAGCGCAAGTCGAAATAAGAGTTTGATACATTTTGTCATATAAACTTCCAGAATCAACAGAATCAGAATGAAAATCCAAATTCAATTGATTCATTTCGTTAATAATCGGATTAATAAATATTAAAAAGAGTCTATTTTTGTCATCATTCATTTCCTGATGTAGCATTTTAGCCATATGGTCTTTTTCTTTAGTACTAGTGACTGAAAAGTAATATTTAATTCAATCCACTGTTCTAGGATACGTCTGACTGCACCTGCATAAGCTAGCCACCGAGTATTTGACAGTTGTACAAGTTTTCGGTATCTGATGCTGTCATTGCCTGTATTTATTAATTCAAATGCCCGCATGTATTCTACGTTCCTCAAAGAACTTTTGCTAAAATATCCATAAAGCTCTTTAACAATAAATTCCGCAGTACTAAGAATTACTTTGGACGCTTTCGAACAACATAGATGGAGGGAGTAACACGTACACTTTATTAGGATAAGTTTGGGTATATCTTTTCTTAAATGCGCAAATAATGATTTATTCTTGCTACATAAATTGCATCCACCATCCGTTCCAATTGCCAACATGTTTGACATTTTCAAACCTATGTTTTTTATGTAGTCTTTAAAACTCTTATAGAGATTTTCACCATTTGCTTCTTCTACTATAAATATTCCAACAAAGTCATTAACAATTTTACCTTTCTTTTCGCTAAAATAGCGTATGCATATACAAAACCATTTCATTTGTGAAACATCTGTTGACTCGTCGACAATCAGGGAATATCTAGAGTTTCCTATATCTTACACAAGCTCCTCTATAATTGTTGGGCCAACAACAGATTTTATAATTGCGCTACATTTCGTTCGGTGCAGTTTAATATTTTCGAAGGGATTAGAATGTGTTGCTGCAGTTTTCAGCAGTTCACTTAAATGGTCAATAGATGCAATAGCTGTATGCTTGGCTACGAACACTGCCAGTTTAATGTCTAATATTTTTGACGTATTGGAAATAGGCACAACACCTGAAATAAAAAGGAATTATATATTTATTTATATTTGTTTCAGATACATATATAAATAAAATACATACCACAGTCGGAAAGCGATGGATAAGTGTGTATTATTGCCATGTTGTTTTTGTGGCGTTTAGTTTCGGAATGTTTCCGCAGGTCTTTTTTATGCGATTCCAATGATAAATTGCAAGCAGAACACCACGAGGTTTTTGTTGTTGATTGTTGTGCCACAGGTGCTTCTCGTATTGATTTCAACCACCCTTTAAATATATTGCAAATACATACATAGCAATGTAACACTTATATAATAGCTTATTTACACTATCTTAGTAAAAACTTACCTTTGGCCCAACTTTCATTTGTCCAGTCTTTGTTAAAAACTCTTCTGATTGAAGACATTTTTGATAATTTGTTCTTTTTCGTTGCAAGATGCTATTTTCTTTCCTTTTTGTCTATTTTCTTTTCTTCTTTGTTTCTCTATTACAACAGCTGCCATATGGAATATTTAATACTTAAATTCGTATTGGGCTAACCTAAATAAAAGTTGTCGCGTAAAAAGTTTCTTGTTATTTCAAACATGTTGACGAATTTTTATCAAGTATAAATGTGTTTAAAATTCATTATAAATCCCTAAAATATCCCCAAAAAAATTATAAATCCCCAGTAAAATCCCCATCCCCAATCGCATTTTTTTGTCCTTTTTAGGCACCCTTAATCCCCAAGGTTGGGGACAAATCCCCAAATCTGGGAACCCTGCTTGGGAGCATTGATATGTCAAAGAAATTTAATGTTTTTTCAAATATAAGTAGATTTTTATAAGTTTTCTAATACTACGTCTTTTGGGGGCTATTATAATTCGCGTTTTTTTAACAATTTTTACAAATTACGCGTCGACACAGCTGCTGGTACAATGAACTGTCAAACCAAGTTTGGAATTGAAAATGTTGAATGCAAAATTATTTAAATTTGTAAAAATTTTTGAAAAAAAAGGCGAATTATAATATCCTCCGAATGACGTAGTATAAGAAAACATATAAAAATCTATGTCTATTTGAAACAAAAAAACATTTAAATTTTTTGACATATCAATGCTCCCAAGCTCCCTGCATTCTTCTGCCATGCGTCTACCTATATTCTTCTACCATGGACATTTATTAAAATTCATGGTAGAAGAAGACAGGTAGTCTGTCAAAACAATTTGGAATTAAAAATGTTAAAATGTTGAATGAAATATTATTGAAATTTGTAAACATTTTTTGAAAAAGCATATCAAAATAACCTCCGATTGACGTCGTATAAAAACACATAAAAATCTACTTATATTAAAAAAAATTTTAAATTTTTGACATATCAATGTTCCCAAACGTTCATGCATCTACCCTATTATATGTTATGTTAACATTATAATAACAATACCGTTCACATATTGTTACTTTAAACTCATTCGTTTACACGTAAAGTTAATACATATATTTGTTTTTCAACCTGTTGATAATGGATTGCTCCCATAAGGATTGAAATTTTAGAAACGTCTTATCACGTGCTATTTATGTGATAATTATATGCACATGAAATGCCTCGGCTTAAATGGCAGACAATTCGATTTTATCGCTGATGAATATAAAGGATTCCGTTGATCCTCTTTGGATTGCAGAGATTTAGAGATAAACTTCTATCGTCTTTTAAGGACACTAAAGCTGAAACTCTAAAACTAAAAAAAGTTTTAATTCTGTATCTCAAAATTTCGAAATAAAAGATGGTTAATAACTTTAAATTTTTAGATGTTTCTCCTAAGAGGAAAAAGTCGGATAGCGTAGTTAGTACACTTAGTTTGCACAAATTCAGGCCCTGATAACTTAATAAGTTTAAATTCTCCTACTACCGAGAATTATATTCAATGTAGTAGTGACTCACGTCCGACCGTTAAATGTGCAAATAAAATATTAAATAATATTGTCAGTAACTCGTTTTGGCGCGATTGTGTCTTAGTGAAGAAATTTGTTTTCAGAGAACGTTCAAAAATTCCTAGAGCTGTGAATCATACCAAAAAACTAAATGATGGTCATATTAATTGCTCTGTTCCAGATCCTGCAATATTCTACTAGTTTTGCATTTTTTCCGATAGTATAAAGGGAAAATCGGTTATCGCTGTAAAAACTTTTACAATCTTGCAGTTCTGGAACAGACCATATGTAAGAGGTCTTACCACTAAATTGAGTAATGAAAAATGAAAAAAAAAATGCGAATACAACCATTTAAATGAAAGCCGTTATATGGGGACCATACGAAGGCGTGGACGAAATTTGTTGTCATAGGCTGTAGTGTCCATTACGAATTTCAAATACGAAATTTGTTACAATTACTGTGAACAATGTCGCAAAAATCATGAAAATACGGAGTACTGTCTATTTACTGTACTATGGAAGCTATACGAAGATGTGGACCGGCACACGATTTTTTTGCTATTAGTTGTAGTACCCATTAAGATCTTTCAATACGAAATTTGAAACGATTTCGGTGAATAATGTGGCTGAAATTGTCAAAATACTGACTATCCCCTTTATATGGGGACATACTTTGTGGGGTCTATTATAAATATTTCGAGTAGTAACAAACGGAATGACAAAGTTAATATACCCTCCATAAAATGTCTAATAGATTTTAAATCAATATTTTTTTGGTAAACACGCACAATTTTCCTCATCAACTTTTTGTTTATTAAATAAAACTCGCATTCACCGCCTAACTCAATATTTTCCATATTTTACAAATATATACATTTTTTACTTTTGCCAAATTTTTATCGCCAAACTTCAATGCCTTCTACTTATTTTCTTTTTGTTTCTTCTTTTGTGTTTTTCATAGTAATATTAATATGAATTCTATCACGATGTCACATTCTACTATAAGGGATGGTTTTTCGGTGGTGGAGTATGCAAACTTCGCTTACCATTAGCAGACATTATGTGCTAAATCAAACATTTATCGTTCTCTAAATTATAGTAATTGTTGTTTTAAAGAAGCTTATTTTACTTCAAATCTAAGAGCCAAATTTTCTCCTAATTTTTTATTTAAGAGAGCGTGGCTTCCCTTTATGTAATAGTGTGTATCTCCCTCCATTAAACATTTTTGGTTGGCAATTAATCTTCACGCTATCACACCCAACCACATAACAGCTGATTTGTAGTCTCATCGTTCTAATTTGTTTATTCATTAAATATTTATATATTTAAACTAATGTCATTGTATCACAAACCAGTTTCTATATTACAATTACAATTTACCTTTCAAATTTTGTAGCCTCTTCATTTTATACTATTTATAAGTCTGCATCGCTGTAATCACTGATTGATACACGCATTTGAATGTGTGGAATAGAACGCGATTTTTGTGTGCGTAACTTTGCAGCTATAGATTAGTTGTTGAAAAATTTCTTATGTATATTGGACCCTATTATCAATGTAAATGATATCAGGAACTCCGAACTTATGAAACACTTCATCCAAAAGTAATTTAATTACGTTGGCCGCAATGAAATCTTTCATTGCCTTTAAAAAGGTGAATTGAGAAATTATCCAAACTAAACTCGTTTTTGCGGCACCTAATCTACACCTACCTATTTTTTTTAAATTATTAAATCGAACGGTCTTTAGACTAAGAATGAACATGTTATTGATTTTTTTATACTCTTGATGATTGAATTCATCCACCGATATCAGCTATTGGACTTTAATTGGAAACTAAATACAAACTAGCATTGAAATTGCTGCAAGTCAAAATGAATACAGTCATAAATATGGATGTACAGATAAATTAATAAATATATCGTTAAATACAAAACAAGTAAATCAGCAACAAAGTTCGGCCAGCTCGAACTTTTAATACCCTCCACCACGTCGAAGGAAATTGAAAAATTAAAAAAAAGTCCGAAAACTACCATTTAAATGAAAAGAAATAAAGAAATTTGGAAAGATACTGAAATCATCAAAATACCGAATATAGAAGTTACCATTATATGGGTCTATACGAAGACTTGGACCGGCATACAACATTTTTTTCATAGGTTGTAGCACCCATTACGAACTTCAAATATTAAATTTTAAATAATGCAGGTAAAGAATGTCGCTAAAATTATGAAAATACCGAATATCGGGAGGTACCGTTATATGGGGGGTATACGAAGACGTGGACCTGCATATAAAAATGTTTGTCAAAGGCTGTAGTACACACCACGAACTTAAAATACGAAATGGTAGAAGAATGTAGGTAGACGTGTCGATACAGCTGCTGGGACAATGAACTGTCAAACCAAGTTTGAAAATGTTGAATGCAAAATTATTTAAATTTGTAAAAATTTTTGAAAAAAAAAAACGCGAATCATAATAGTTCCGAATGACGTAGTATAAGAAAACATATAACAATGTACTTATATTTGAAAAATGCGAATTATAATATCCTCCGAATGACGTAGTATAAGAAAATATATAAAAATCTACTTATAAACATTTAAATTTTTTGACATATCAATGCTCCCAAGGGTTGATGCATCTACCTGTATTCTTCTGCCATGCGTCTACCTATATTCTTCTACCATGGGTAGAAGAAGACAGGTAGACGCATCGACACAGTTGTTAGGACAATGAACTGTCAAACCAAGTTTGGAATTGAAAATGTTGAATGCAAAATTATTTAAATTTGTAAAAATTTTTGAAAAAAAAGGCGAATTATAATATCCTCCGAATGACGTAGTATAAGAAAACATATAAAAATCTATGTCTATTTGAAACAAAAAAACATTTAAATTTTTTGACATATCAATGCTCCCAAGCTCCCTGCATTCTTCTGCCATGCGTCTACCTATATTCTTCTACCATGGACATTTATTAAAATTCATGGTAGAAGAAGACAGGTAGTCTGTCAAAACAATTTGGAATTAAAAATGTTAAAATGTTGAATGAAATATTATTGAAATTTGTAAACATTTTTTGAAAAAGCATATCAAAATAACCTCCGATTGACGTCGTATAAAAACACATAAAAATCTACTTATATTAAAAAAAATTTTAAATTTTTGACATATCAATGTTCCCAAACGTTCATGCATCTACCCTATTATATGTTATGTTAACATTATAATAACAATACCGTTCACATATTGTTACTTTAAACTCATTCGTTTACACGTAAAGTTAATACATATATTTGTTTTTCAACCTGTTGATAATGGATTGCTCCCATAAGGATTGAAATTTTAGAAACGTCTTATCACGTGCTATTTATGTGATAATTATATGCACATGAAATGCCTCGGCTTAAATGGCAGACAATTCGATTTTATCGCTGATGAATATAAAGGATTCCGTTGATCCTCTTTGGATTGCAGAGATTTAGAGATAAACTTCTATCGTCTTTTTAAGGACACTAAAGCTGAAACTCTAAAACTAAAAAAGTTTTAATTCTGTATCTCAAAATTTCGAAATAAAAGATGGTTAATAACTTTAAATTTTTAGATGTTTCTCCTAAGAGGAAAAAGTCGGATAGCGTAGTTAGTACACTTAGTTTGCACAAATTCAGGCCCTGAT